TCACAGAAAGGAAAAGGCTCAACCCCCGCGACTAAAACAGCCAAGAAGAAGAATGACATGCAAAGCATTCCCCCCTCCCAAATAAAAACTAAAATAAAAATAACACCAACAGAGTCTGGTTAGTAGCATGAAGAACAGAGCAAGCAATAAAGGGTGCAAACTGTTCATGTTACGTGAAGCCCTGTCTTACTACGAGCTGCCCACAGGACTGCTTCCCTTTGCAACTCCAAGCTGAGAAAGGAACCATTTATTCATCTCAACTTAAGTCTCTCTGGACTGAGGCCCCAGGCCCAGGATCTCCCTTTCATGCCCTCTTCTAGAGTTGGCCCGGAGAACACAAGAGGGGAAGGAAGCAAGGGCTGGTCAGGGATACTTCTGCCGCCATGATGGAGCACATGAACAATCTCACTGGATTCCACACGTGCTTCTGCTAAACCCGCCATTCTGACATGGGCGGCAGTGCCCAGGAGGGGCTGCTCAAAGACAATGCCATGCACGAAGGCTGGTCCAGGGAAACGGGCCTGTTGATAGCCCTGATTTCCAGAAAACAGGTGAAGTTCCTTGCTGGGTGCAAGTAGCCCAGGGAACCTTGAGGACTACCAGAATACGTGACAGTGATCTACCCTTCCCTGCCACTTGCCGGTATGGAGGATGATAGAACAGAAGAGTGGGCCAGGAACTCTCAAGCATGCATGAGCTGTGAAATGCTGCTGAAGGGCAGTTGGGCCCTTGTTCCACCTCCCAGTAATGGAGGCTTCATGGGAAAGTTAGTCTGTAGGCGCTTGTTGGTTCTGCCCAAGTTCTACTGTGGTAAACCTAGTCCACCCTCAACCTAAACAAAAGGACTTGCAAAGCTTAAATTATTCTGAAGTCATCGTGCAGCTCAGTGCATTAGGAAAGACAGCTCAACGTGCAAGGTTTGGTTAAAACATGACGTTAGCCTGGAAAAGGAGAGACCTTAGGGACCCAGGTCAGTTGCATCTATTATTTCCAACCCTCGATCGCTCATCCTGCACTCTGGCCCTCATATTCTGAGACAGCCATCATCAGTGTGGAATCGCCCAGCAATGATTTGTGCCTCAGCTCTGACACTTTCCTGTGTTCTTTCCTCCCAAGTTAGGGATGTGAGGTCTCCCACAGAGCTTTTCTGCCCCATACAAAGAGCTGCAGCTCAGCACTTCGTTCTGAGAGAGAGAGACCACTTAACAAGCGATGAATTCTAGACTCTGCCCCATGCTCCAGGCTGACTTATCACAGTAACTTCCTACTTCAAAGGCAAGAGCCATTAAGAGGAACCAATGGATTTAGACATTTGAAGACAACCCTATGTTAGCAAATACCTCCATGTTTCTTTGTTCTGTGGGATATTCATCCACAGGCAAGAAGTTAGCTATTTTACTACATAAGCTGATTATCTAACTCCCTTCTCCTTCCTTCTTTCCCAAGAAAAGGGAAACACTTCCTTTGGGGTAGAGAGATGGAAGACTCGAACATCAGCTAAGGACTGGCTGATCTCCATAGCTCGGCAACATGCTCTGCTTAGCTTGTCTGAAAGAACTAGAAAAGGTGGAGCTTAAGACACAGGCATAAAATCCGAGTGGGTGTGGCTCGTGCCCAGGAAGTGGGGTGGAGGCCGTGGTCTCCAACTTCCTCCCATTAACGTGGTACGTAGCTTTGAAACTGTCCTCCCTAACCTACGTATGATTCTGTGCATAGCCCAGACCACATTCTCACGTTAGGCTACGTAATTCCCAGGCCTCTGTACACTCGTTCTAGCCCTCTCCAATCTTTCTCGTAATCCTGAAGCTATCATGTAAATAAGAAAAGCCATTTTGTAATCAGTGTTACACACTCACATTTAGAGGGCCTCAGCACCAAGGAGATTCAGTGCCAAGAACCCGAAATGTAATTGTTTATATGCCACTGGACCTCGCCCCAGTCCGGAGAATGTTCAGTGTGAAGCCCACGTTTTTCGTTTTTCTCCCAACCAAATGCCATGTAATAAACACACATACAATATGCTTGGCTGATGGTTTATTGGAAATTAGCACACGAACTGAGAAACGGGAGCCCCCAACGGGCTACACTGATGCCAAGGAGCATGGCTCCGTGGAACCATGACAGCATGCACCGTGCCATTTACCAGACACACACTGCCATCGACACAGATGATTTTAAAAATATATGTGCATGGATAAATTGTAAATATGTCTGGCCGCCTAATGTACACAGAGATAAATATGCGCATATAAATGTGCTTCACGTACAAATGCATTTGTATCAGAGCAGTAATTGCAGATAGTCCTGGCGCTCTGGGCTGTGCTGTTTCAGCATTTTATTGTCCCCGCACACTCATGTACAACACGGCCAGCGCTCTGCCTCTCTGATAACTATCTGGAGGCAGTGACCGCACTGAGGGAACAGGCCAGGTGCCTTCACGCCACAAGAAAGCAGACAGAGGTCCACACGGAAATCTGAACGGGGAGAAGAGGCTATGTCCTTCCACCAGCACTGGAAGACAGGGGGAACTTATCATGGGATGGATAGCCTCCTGAGAAGTATGTGATTTGTAGACGAATAGCAAGTGGGCTCTACTGAAGGTCCTGGAGAGATCTCCAAGAGCTGAAATGGAATCCCCTGGCTTGCTGAGAACTCAGCAACCTTACCTGCGGGTTGTGGCAATCCACAGTGACCTAGAAGCACGTTTCAAGAGGCGCTTGTCCATGAAAAGGTTATGAATTGGACTTGGGAATAGAGCAAGTGGTTCACAGAAAGTGCCACTGAGACACTCAGAGCATGGACAGAGCTCCTCTGCCCTAACTAGACAAAGGAGGAAGCACAGAGCACCTATGATTCGGACGCATTTTATTGGACCAACATCGTACTGTGGAACTATGTAAACATTATTTTTATAAGACAATTTCTTGATTGCATTTCTGCTAAAAATTTTTTTTCCAGAAGAATTAAAAGCCTGTTTGTGAAAAAAAAAAAAAAAAATGAGTGTCATAATTTATGACACACTGGGTTGCTGGGAAAGTCGTGATGCATTTTCGCACAGAAAAACAGAAAAATATGTCATGACTTTCCTGATGACATAATAGTGATAATAAAACCTAAACGGGCAAAGCAGGGTTTCTCCGCCTGGGAACAATGAACATTTTGGACTGGTGGTTCTTTGTTATGGAGAAAAAGAACGAGTGCTGTGGAATGTTTAGCCCAGCCCTGGACACCAACCAGTAGACACCAAAGGCATCCTTGCTGGAAGTCACGGTACCGAAGACGTCTCCAGACATTGTGAAATGTCCCCCAGGCTGCAAATGTGCCCCTAGTAGAGAACCAATGACTTCGAATAAGAAAGATTTACTTTTTTATCCTCAGAAGGAACTGATAAGTTTTAAAGTGTTTCATTATTTCTCACAGTTTTCTTAGGAAGTAGTATTTATTTTTATCAAGTGTCGCCCTGATTTTTGTAGTTTAGAAATCAAGGCTTCCAATCAATGATGGTACCCACCTGATGGGACGACACTCCCATACCACACGAGGCTCAAAGAACAGCCTTCTCTACCAGGTATAAGCCTAATAACGTCTCACGCCTGCCTCTCTACTTCCCCCTTACGAATTCCAAGCTGCACTCAGCCTTTCCACGTGGGACACATTAAAAGAGTGAAGGACTGTGCGGGTCATTGCGAAAGCCCTTCTGTAGATGTGCATGTCAACATTTTAGAGTTCCAATTTTAGGAGGAATTGTTTTCACTCCCACTTAAAAATAATAGAAGGGAAACATGTAGGGAGAAACAACATGAGAGAAATAGAATAAAATTCTTTCACTTGCCTTTTTTTTTTTAGAGAGAGGTTTTTGCTATAGGATGCGTGCACTCGCCAGAGAGACAGAAAGTAAGAAATCAGCCCCCAGGGGCGATGGCCACGCCACAATCCCTTCTCCTCCGTTCTCCTCTCGGGATCTTGCACGCATGCACATGTGGCCCGGCGTGAGTTTAAGCCACCGGGTCCGGGACCCGGTCGGGCTGCAGTCGGCTAAGTGGGAGTCCAGCGACATAACCATTACGTTAACTGCTGGTCTTGACACTTGGTTTTAAAAAAACAAACTTATAAGGGTTCCAATAAAGTGCCAATTTCTTTGAATGTATTACCTTTTCTCTGTGTGTACTAAATAAAACCTTCTTCTAAGAGGTCAGCAGGCGGTGTGGTGGCTATGGCGCTGGATCCCACATGGCCAACGCTGCAGCTCGAGTGCTGGACCTACTGACTTGAATGACACGCCAGGGTGGGCACACGTGCCCCAAATCCCACGGGAAAACAAAGGAGAAGGGACTGTGCCATGATCATACACCCTGGGTGGTGATTTCTCACTTTCTCTCTCTGTCTCTCTCTGTGAACACCTACGCCCATAGCAAAAATCTTAAAAAAAAAAAAAAAAAAAAGTTTCAAATTTAGTTTCTACCTACTGCCTGGACAGAATCCTAATCTTTTTCCTGGATTTAAGCCTTAAGCAAATTTTTCTGAACATTTTATTATTTTGATTTATGAAAGTTAAAACTGCTTTTCTTGAAATTAAAAAGTCATAGAAAAAAAATCTATTTAACAACCACAGTTAGCTATACAGTCATAGCTAGGTGCCACTTTGCAGTAAGTTCATTCTACTCACTGAGTTTTATGCCTGAAGTCAGACATGTGCCCACAGATGTGCATACATCAGCCGCACTTGCTATTGAAAGTACTTAGATTAATTCAGATCTTTTGTGAATCAATAAAATGTGAAAAACATAATTTTTAAAAATAAGAGGAGAAACAACAGAGAAGAACACATTAAGAAAAGTGGGACAGGGAACCAGCAGTTAGCGTAATGGCTATGTCGCTGGACTCCCACGTAGTCGACCGCGGTTCACGTCCCGGACGTGGTGGCTTAAAACTCACGCTGGGCGCGTGTGCGTGCGTGCCCAAGATCCCGAGAGGAGAATGGAGGAGAAGGGATTGCGGCGTGACCATCCCCTCTGGGGGGTGCTTTCTCTCTCGCTCTCTGTCTCTATGTCTCTCTCTGTCTGTCTGGCGAGCGCACGTGCCCTATAGTGAAAACCTCTCAAAAAAAGAAAAAAGAAAAGTGGGACAGACAGCAGCAATCCCACATAGAAATGCTCCCCGTCCAAGTCAGAAGACCTCTCTGAGTACACCAGGTATACATGCACCCATGGTTCAGGGCTGGCTGAAGGCTGGGACTGAGTGATCGGTGCATCAGGACCCTGTTTGGGAGTTGTCTATCTGTGTCTCTATTGCTCATGTTGTAAATAACTAAATAATATTTTTAAAAAAAAGGAAAAAAGAATTAAGAAATTTTTGACCAAAATTTTTTAAAAAATTAAATATTAAAGCAGGGTTCAGGGCTTTAATATGATAACCTTCCACCAATCCTGTAAAATAATTCCCCTATGAGTGTCATAAGATCGTGCCCAAGGGTTCACCCATGACTAAACAGGGCTAGAGGAAGACCGTTCATGGCCAGATTTGCTGTTGTCCTAGACCCACACACACACAGATAAGGAAAAAGAAAAAAAATTAAATCTAGGGATTCTGAGCCTCAATAAGCCTGCAACTAAAAGAAAAAAAATTAAATCAAGGGATTCTGAGCCTCAATAAGCCTGCAACTACTTAGCGAATCCCAGACACCGATAAAATATCAACGCTGATGCTGATTACAGGAGACATCTGTAAAGCACAAGCCAGTCCTTTCTTCTGAAATGCATGCTCTACAGAAGAGGATCCAAGCTCCCAGAAAGGGGCTGCTTCTCTGAAGCCTTAATTCTTAAATTAAATCAAGGGATTCTGAGCCTCAATAAGCCTGCAACTACTTAGCGAATCCCAGACACCGATAAAATATCAACGCTGATGCTGATTACAGGAGACATCTGTAAAGCACAAGCCAGTCCTTTCTTCTGAAATGCATGCTCTACAGAAGAGGATCCAAGCTCCCAGAAAGGGGCTGCTTCTCTGAAGCCTTAATTCTTGCTGCTATGATCTCCACAAAAATAAGACATTGAGAGTGCAACATTTGTGATTTGTCCAGAAGAATGAGGGACTCCCGCCTATCACTGCTGCTTCAGTTGGTCCCTATGTTTGCTTTTATTCTTCGAAACTTAAATTTCCTCTCTTTTCCATTCTTCTTCTTTGCTCCTTTCATTTTGCCCAACTTTACTGAAATAAACTAAAGGTACAGATGTCGCTAAATGCTTGCTAATCCCTTTGGGTTGTAGGCTTACATGATTTTTGTAAATTATGCTTAAGGAAATGGGAGACAGGGCACATAACAAAAAATAGAAACCTCTAGAAGTCTAAATAAAGGTACTGAAGTGCTGCTCGGCACACAGAAACCTCCAGAGGAAAGAGGATTTACTTGCAAAGTACCTTCTTTGCGATAGAAATAAGTATTTATATTTAGTAAATCTTCTGGAAAAAAAGCTCTGGCTTTCATATTAAGAATATGAAAAGTTCCTAGACTCCAGAATTGTAGACTTCAGACCCTGCCAACATCTATTTTTACACACTAACCTCTTATTTAAAACTTGCTATTTCAATGATCATTTCTCCTTTGAAACGATTAAAGATCCAGAACAAAGCATGATAAAAATCCTATGTGATAAGCTTGAATATTTAAAAATTCTCACTTTTTCTTTGCAATGCTTTTGGGTTAAGAGCAGAAAAAAAAAATGTCTAACTTTTCTTGTTAAGACATATTTACCTTTGAAAATTCCATGCTATTGCACTCATATAATAGTATTTTCTTTTGTCTCTACTTTAGAAGAAACATTACAAAGAGGTTCCTCTGCATATTATTTCCAATAGCTTAGGCACACCTGGAAGGCTTAACTCCAATTTTCCATAATAATTTACTTTAAGTTGAGAATAGTCACAAGAAGTTTAAGCCACCAGAAACATTCCTTAGAAACTGTAATCACAGACTGACATTCCGTAAGAGCCAACGTAACCCTGAAACACAGAGTAGGGGGTTAAAATGCTTACTTGTCTCTTTTTAAGGGCTTTAGGAAAGAATAAATAGTTACGGTCTTAGTAATGAAAGGAGTCCACAGGGCCCTTCTAAGGACTAGTCATAAATCATGCTAAAACCATCTGCGATGCAGATATACCAGGGACAGGAAAAAGTCATTTTGATATCTGTTTTGCATTACGATAACCTTTACAGGAGTGCTGAGTGCGTTTTTGCTAATGTTGACAGAATTGTACTTCTTCCAAAGAGACAAGTGCAAATGCCTGCCTAGCAGTGCAATTCAACTTCTGTTGTTGGGTCTGAAATACTTCATAATTGGCCAGATGGGGAAGGAGGAAACTCTGGTTACCAAACCTGTTAGCCTTGATCTTTTGTCAATCGCACCATGATGGATACGGAAGCGGGGGTGTGTGGGGAGAACCTCAGAAAGCAAATATGCTCTTCCTAGTAACCCAACCAGCAGTGCTGGGAAAAATAAAACCGGATCGTTTCTACATTGCCTTATCATATCTGTATTTACAAAGCCCAGGCCGCTTTTCACGCGTGAATCCACTTAAACAAAAGAAGACCATGATGATATGGTCCAGTGACTTGATACCGAATTAGTGCATTTAGAACCTCACGGAAGTCACCGGGCTGCAGAGCCCTACACCTGTCCAATACCAAGCCCCAGAAGGTAGAAAGAGAATTTAGTTTAGTGGACCAATAAGCATTGGGGTCAAAGATATCATACACTCCTAAGAAATATAATCAATTAGTTTTTAATCATATTATGATCAAACATGTAAATCTGTGACCCTTTCACGTTGGAGTGGTCAGTTTTCTTAGATGTACACCCCATAGCCACAATATCAAACTTATATAATTAAAGAAAATTGCTTTCTTCTTTAAAAAAAAAAAAAAAGATGACGAAGGTAGCAAGCAACACGTCTTCCATAGCACATGAACAGTAGGTTATGTGTACTATTGATTATATTTTTCAGACGTGGAAATTCAGAACTGATGACACAGAAGTACATAATGTTGGCCTGAACTCTGACACAACGTGATACAACACACGTACACTAAAACGAAACTTAGAACACATCACGTAACTGAGTGTGTAACAGGAAAACTGGGTCTGAAAAATCTGAATTGACAGGCAATTTTCTTTGTAGTTTGTATGAAGAAAAAATCAACTAAATAAAAATAAAGAACAACCATGGACAATGTGTAGAGACACTTGTAGCCTGGCTTTGCAGACCAGAGTAGTTTAATTAAATATTTGCTAGAAGAATGAATGCTCCTGCGTAACATGCATGCCAGGAGGGGACTCAGACATTATGTGATGGGAACAGCAGAATACTGAAGTAGGAAAACTTTCTATGACCCAGACCAAATGGTAGAATCCCAGGAAGTCATCTCCAGCGTTCAGTCTAACTTATGCACTGAAATCTAGAGGGCTCATTGAAAATGACCAGTTTCCTTCTGTCTCGACTTAAACATATCAATGCAAACCTCCAGGTGACTTCATCTCTGAAACCGGATAAAACTCCACTCTTTGGAGATGAAAGGGGAAACCCAATGTGGCATCAATAACAATAAAGATCATCAAATACATACTTTGACCAATCGACACATAAGGATGAAATGAAAACCCCAATGTAGGAAAAGCAAGTATAAAAATGTAGAACAATCCCCCCAAATGAAAGAAAAAAACTAACCAGCTGAGTTGGGAGTTGAGGGTGAGTTAGCTTGGCTTCCATGGGCTGACACATTGGTAGCAGTGACAGCCGTTTTGGCAGCATAAATATTGGCTTCCTCTTGAAATTTACCTATGTTCTTCTTGTACCGGATTCGCTTATTTCCAAACCAGTTTGATACCTAGAGCAGTTTGAGAGAAGATAAGGAAGTTAACACGGCATCCTCCTGAAACACTGCAGAAGAAAAAGAAAGACTTAGGGGAAGATGGACGAGGTAGGCCAGTTAGTCTTATCCTGTTGTGAATTCACAACATCACTCAAAAGACTGAATGAAGCAGGAGCTTCAAGAGGAGCAGCAATAAACAGGACTTAATACAACTAAAATTTCACAAAGCCACAGAATAAAGACGTTCCTAGAGAGGAGCAGCTTACCTAATTAAGCCAGGGCCCTTCGCATTCAGAATGAGCATTTCAAAATCTCCTATCTTAAATTATGACACTAAAAGAAACATGAACATAACATTTCAGGAGAAACCCCTGTTTCTTACCAACACTAAAGCTCGTTTTACACAATCAAAATACACAGATCTATAAAGATCCATATAAATCCCTGTCAACATATGCGTGCTTTCATGTGACAGATGAATTTCAAATTTTTGGAAGTTAGATAACTTTAATAGGGACTTAGACTCTTGGCTGCATTGCACTATAGACCTTAGGATCAATATACTTTAATGCATCAGCTTTTTTAAAAATTTTTTTAAGGTTTTCGCCATAGGGTGCCTGTGCTTGCTGAAGAGAGACAGAGAGAGACAGAGAGAGGGAAAGTGAGAAATCACCCCCCAGGGAGGCTTGCCATGCAGCAATCCCTTCTTTTCCATTCTCCTCCTGGGATTTTGGGCATGCATGCACATGTGCCTGATGTGATTTTCAAGCCACCAGGTCTGGGACTTGAGCTGCAGTTGGCCATGTGGGAGACCAATGCCTTAACCACCATACCACCTGCTGGCCCTAGAAGTTAGATAACTTTAATATAGACTTAGAGTCTTAGCTGCATTGCACTATAGACCTTAGGATTAATATAGTTTAAGGCACTAGATTTCACTGAGTATTTAAGTCCAAAGCTTGGTGTTACCTATCTAAGGAAAAACTGAAGCATACATTTGATTATTTCTTTTAATTCTGGACTTGAAGTGTTAAAAGACAACAAACACAACAAACCTAATTTACTTTTAGCTGGTGATCTAGTATGTGGCTCACAGCAGCTGTCTTAGCTCAACTCTACATCTCTGCCCCGACCAAGACCTCTGCCCAACCCAAGTGGAGACATAGTTAAATTCAAGTTTTACCCACAAGTCTTGCCGTGGGGAGGAAAATTTCAGCCTCATATTCCAGATGTAATTTCAAAGTAAGAGATTACCGTTAGACAATTACAAAACAAACTATGAATTAGGTGAGGAAAGGAGGATTTGATCAGACACATATTACGGGTTACATGTAATTTATATTTACTCCCAATGGCAGATAAAGAAAATTCTTGCAAATTATATTTTACTAATATTGTACATGTGACAGTAAAGTTAAAACATCCTAAAAGGCTAGTCTTCCCCCGCCTGTGCAGCTTCTACTGCAGCAGTGACGCCAAGTCTTCATCACAAATTTCCAACTGGACCAGCACAACGCGAACAAATGAAGGAAAAACCTTCAGTAGGAAAAGGCTTTACGTAGTGTAGATGCTGGAGCCTGCAGAGCAGAGTTACGCCGGGGGAGGAAAGGCACTTTGGGGTCCACTTGGAGACCACTGCATATCTAATTTCATTTGGAAATCCATGCCTTTCTTGTTATAACTTTCACTATTCATATCAATCAATCATAGCTATGGTTGCTTTGTTATTTGGAAGCAGAATAAGGAGAGGAAACAAGGAGGAGAGGTTTTCCTGAGGTACCTGGAAGAGCTGGAGGAAAGGGGAAAAGATGAAGGTAGTTTAAGAGGCCTTCTGAGGAAGAAAGGAAATGCCTGAGGTCCAGGGACATCAGCTAGATGCAAAATAAATAAATAAATAGAGAGAGAGAAAGAAGTGAGCAGGTGGAGGGGGGCAAGTCATGGGAATGATCTTGTGCTCGACAAGACTAGAACTGGCGGGGAGGGCGCTAGCCCTGGTTAGGTGGGCCTTACATGATGTACTAGGCAACGGCATGGGCCCCGGACCACGGAGAGAGGCGGTGCTAGTCACAGGCCAGGGCCTACGTGGTCTCAGCACTCAGGGTGATCAGATACGGCATGACACAGGCGGTACAGAAAGAATGATGGGTTTTGTAGGGACAGCTTGATTCACGGTTTGTGCATGTTAAGTTTGAGAAGCCTACAGGCAGTCCCACGATGAAGTCCAGTGGGAAGGAAAATAGATGAGCCTGCTAGTCTAGGAGAAAAGTCCCATCTACATATTCAAATGAAGGGGTATATTTGTAGCTAGGAGCAGGGAAGGGATCACTCAGATAACAGTGTTCTTCAAAGTTAGGCATTTATGGATAGACGGTAGATTCCTAGGTCCCCAACCCCAAAGATTCTGATTCAGAATGAGACCCAAGAGTCCATATTTTTTTTTTAAAGAGAGATTTTTTTTTTTTTTTTTTGCTATAGGGCATGTGCACTCACCAGATACAGAGAGAGAAAGCAAGAAACCACCCTCGAGGGGACTACCATGATGTAGTTCCCCCTTCCCCATTTTCCTCTCAGGACACTGGGCATGTATGCACAAGGGTCCACTATGAGTTTCAAGCTGCCCAATCTGGGACTCGAGCTGTTGTTGACCACGTGGGAGTCCAGGGCCACACCATTATGCCACCTGCTGGCCTCCAAGAGTTCACATTGTTTATATATATATATAAATTTTATATATTTATATATATAAATTTATATAAGAGAAATTTTTGCTATAGGGTGTGTGTGCTTGCTGGAGAGACAAAGAGAGAAAAAGAGAGACAGAAAGCAAGAAATCACCCCCAGGGGGGAAGACACGCCACAATCCCTTCTCCTCCGTTCTCCTCTTGGGATTTTGGGCATGCACGCACATGCTCCCAGCATGAGTTTTAAGCTACCGGGTCCTGGACTCTGACTGCAGTTGACTACATGGGAGTTAAGTGACATAACCATTATGCCATCTGCTGGTCCCCAAGAGTCCACATTTCTAACAAGCTCTCAGTGATGCTGGCACTGCCCACGTTGAGTGCACCACCATAGCAGAAGGGCTCTTTAGGGATCTAGGGAGAGGATGATCAATGGACAAGTTTCAGAGGGAATTTTGTGTACGAGCATATTTTTGTTTTGATTTATGGGAAGAACCAACAGCTTCTAGTACATTTCAAAATGGCTGTGCCTTTAAGAATAGTTAACAATCACTAGTTAGGGTGAGAAGGGATGAGGGCTAAGGGGAAAAAACAACCATTTTAGGGCAAGTAGGGACAGTACACCTTCTGAGACCGAGAAGGGTCGGCCCAAGGAGAGGGAGGGAAATGCAGGGAGAAAAGGGTCAAGGAAACCAGGGCAGGAGAATTTTAAAAAGGAAGAGTAATCAGGGAACCAGCAGTTAGCGTAATGGCTATGTTGGTGGACTTCCACATAGTTGACCGCGGTTCGCGTCCCGGACCCGGTGGCTTAGAACTCACACCAGGCACGTGTGCGTGCGTGCCCAAGATCCCGAGAGGAGAATGGAGGAGAAGGGATTGCGGCGTGACCATCTCCCCTGGGGGGTGATTTCTCGCTTTCTGTCTCTATGTCTCTCTCTCTGTCTGTCTGGCGAGCACACGTGCCCTATAGTGAAAATCTCTCCAAAAAAAAAAAAAGTAAAAAAAAGGAAGAGTAATCATCAACAAACCAAAAAATAAGGGGGGGAAAAGGGAAGCTATTGTATACAATGCATCCCCTGAATTTGGGCACTAGTGGGGAGATATACCAATGTATGTGGTCCAGGAAGCCATGACGGGAAGTTGGGGCACTCAAGACCCAAACAGAAGGAGTGAGGTCCCTAGAATCCCAGAGGTGACGTGGGTAAAATCACGCCCCACCCTAACGATCTCCCGTGTTATTTTAGCACAGTCTCCCACTGGAGCTGGCAGGCAATGGCGACACATCTTGGCTGCTGTTGGGTAAGACCGGTGTGATGGAGAAGGAGGTGTGGCACGGCGTTGGAGTAAAGGAAAGGTGACACAGGTGTAAATCATCATTTTAATGGACAAGCTATTTGCACCCTGAACTTTCATAATAAACAAAGGGGAGGTTGCTGGAAAAGGCCAAGGGTTTACCTTTCATTTAGCTATACATAACCCAGAATTGCTCCAGAAGTGTTCCTTTTACCCTCAATAGGGATCTGAAAGTCAGAGTCTCAGACTTGCAATTCAGATAGCAGAGTGATTTAATACTACTTGAAAAGCAGAGGATTCCCTGACTGAGATTCATTGATTTGTGAGTTAGTAATGGGGTTCATACCTGGAACCATTCATCAAACATGCAGCAAATATCAAAAACCATTAATTCCTTATTTTCTTCTTTGTAGACAAGGTGTCTAGATTTGAAAAAGGATGATTAAATCTCTAAAAAAAAAAAAAATGAGCTGGCAGGTGGCGTGGTGGTTAAGGTATTGGACTCCTGCATGGACAACTGTGGTTTGAGTCCCACACCTGGACACCTGTTTTCTTACTTTCTCCCTCTCTCTCCCTGGTCTCTCTCTGGTGAATTAAGCTAATAATTAATAAAAATAATAATAAAATTAAAAAACAAAGAAAAACACTATGCTACTTGAGTTTGACCACTTATGTCCTACTGTCCCAGAATTATCAAGATGGGAAATGAGGGGCCAGCAGATGGCATAGTGGTTAAGGGCATTGGACTCCCACATGGCTAACGTGGTTCAAGTCCTGGACCTGGTGGCTTGCTTTCTTGCAATCTCCCCTCCCCCCTGCTCTGCTCTTTCTCTTTCTCTCACTCTGTCCCTCTCTGGTCAAATTAAAGAAATAAATAAATAAAGTTAAATAAAATAATTTTGGAAAATAATCTTCAGCTGGGTCAAAGCCCCCAGGAAGGCCTGGTAAACCCAGGCAGTCAATTTATTCTTCTTTATCTGAAAAGATATTTTCAAGGATGTTTGCTGCTGCAAAATCTCCCACAGCTTCTTGGGGAGGCCCTGGCAATCTCTTCATTGTGAATACCTTCTATGGAGTTCTATATTTTGCCTGGACCTAATTCTGCTTAGCTAAATGCAGGCTGATGGAATCTGCAGGCTGCAGAGAACCAGAAGCCAGGATTCAACTCAAGGAAGTACAGATGCTTGGTTTATACAAAACAGCATCGAGTCTGTTGGAAAAATGGTAAGTGAAGTTACTCCCTAGGGTAGACTGTTTCTTCACCACTCTCTCTCCTCCCAGTACATTTAATCCTCTTGCACGTGATACAATTCCAATGAAAACCACTTTCTCTGACTGAGACCAGTCATGGTAGTTGAGGTTCAGGCTGAATAAGAAGCATGGATGAATCCTTGGAGTAGACCAAATGTAAATACTTATAAATATTGCCTACTTTTCTACTTCATATTAATGGTGAACACTCCAGGTCTCTAAACATTTTATATCATGTGTCTTTCCAAGTCAACAAGCACCTGTTATGGCCGCTGCTCTGTGGGGGAAGAGGGCACTCAGTGACATTTGTGCGACTATTCCAGTGTAATCACGGTGACACGTTAAAACTCCTAGACTCTATCGGCTGCGGTCAGAGCATCAAGAGAAGACCTTCAAGTCCCTGTCATCTAGGAGGCTATATGATATCTTGTCCATTCATTGACTTTCCTTAAAATATCTTTTTAAAAAGTTTCTCTCTTTCTTCCATGAGTAAGAGGAAGAGAGACAGAGACAGAGACAGAGAGACAGCACACCTAACAGGGTCTCAATACCACAATCTACACCCAACTTCAGCCAGCCCCAGGTCAAAGGCATAAATATGCCTAGCATACTCAGGAAGGTCTCTGGATTTGAACCCAGAACCTTCTCATGTGGATCAGCCTTTGCAGAGCATTGTGTTACCACTATACCACCATCTAGCCTCCATCAACTGCCTCTTAAAGTTCTTGGGTTGAACAAAAAAGTGGACTAAGGAATTGACTAAGTTTGAAAACAGGAGAAATGCAGAGAGCTTCCCAAGTACACAGGGTAGAAACCGCACCCTTGGAAGTAAGGCGTGCTCAGTGGTAGGAAACCTGCCCCTGTTTCAGTACTGCACTCCACTTAGTCTTGTCTTCCTTCTGTTGGTCCTTCTTGAGCTTTTCCAGGTACTTTCCTAGAACTCTTTAATATCCATCAAGACCTTATCTTGGCAATTTAAGTCGTTAGCTGACGAAATTTGCACGGCATGAATGTTCATTAATACAAGACCTCCATGGCCTGGCCGAGTGGCTCCACCATGGCAGACAACAGGCAGAGCCTTCTGAGGGTCCCTTACCTGGGAGACTGTGATGCCACACTTCTTGGCTAACTCCTCTTTGGCTTCCTCACTGGGGTAAGGGTTGCTGAGATGGGAATAGAAATATTCATTCAGGATTTCCGTTGCTTGCTTGTTGAAATTCCGTCTCTTCCGCCTTTACAGGAAGAAAGAAAAAAATATCAAAAAGTTCACATCAAATAACCAAAAATACATAAATATATAAAAAGCAGAGAATAGAATCTCGGAAAAGACTTCAAAAAGTGTGTAGCAAATGGGATTGTGGGGACCAGCAGGCGGCATAGATGCTGGGCTCCCATGTGGTCAACCATAGTTTAAGTCCTAGACCTGGTAGCTTGAAACTCATGCCAGGCACATGTGCATGGGAGCCCAAAATCCCAAGAGGAAACCAGAGAAGGGACGAAGGGACTGTGGCATGACCATCTCCCCATCCCCCCCTGGGGGAATGGTTTCTTGCTCTCTGTCTCTCCGGTGAGTTCACGTACCCTATACCAAAAATCTCTTAAAGAAAAAAAGAAAGGGAACCAGCAGTTAGCATAATGGCTATGTCGCTGGACTCCCACGTAGTCGACCGCAGTTTGCATCCTGGACCCGGTGGCTTAAAACTCACGCCGGGCGCGTGTGCATGCGTGCCCAAGATCCGGAGAGGAGAATGGAGGAGAAGGGATTGTGGAGTGGCCATCCCCCTGGGGGGGATGATTTCTCGCTTTCTGTCTCTATGTCTCTCTCTGTCTGTCTGGCGAGTGCACGCGCCCTATAGCAAAAACCTCTCCCCCCTGCAAAAAAAAAAAGTAAAAAAGAAAAAAAGAAAAACGAAAGAAAATGGGATTAAGCACAAGTTTTGTTCTTGGTGCCCACCTCCAAAAACATGGAAATCCATGCAGTTTTTTTATAATGCACATTCTCCACAAATACCCTTGTAATTTTGGGAAAACACACATTTTTGAGCAAAAGGTGAATTAGAGGAGATTGGCAAAATGCGGTTGGATGCGAAAACCACCTCACTTTAAGCATTTCTTGAATACTTCATTCTGCATCGTGTCGGCACCAAATGTCTTTACAGAGTGGTGAAGAACATGCGATTTCAATATTCAGGCCACTTTGTTTGAATCCTGGGTCAACTACATGCCAGCGGGGTGATCTGGGTTGCCAGTGGAGGCCTCAGGCTCTTTAACAGAAAATGCAGAGTCCTCTGGTGGAACTAGGAGAGCGAGGAAGGCCTCACACGGGGAACTGTACAGTGCCGGACAGGTGGCGCACGCTGGGCTTAGTGGTGCCAGGTTCTGGCACCGGGCCTGATGCCCCATAGCAACCAATTCAAGTCATTCATTTCTCACAACTAGAGTTAGATATGGTTACTCGTATTCATCAGTGTAGAACTGAGTTCAAAGGTCACAAAGTTCAAAGGTCTCTATGTAAGTAAGAGAGGCCCAATACTGAGTCAGGTCTCCCCAGCTACACAGCCCAGCCTCTTTGTTTCAGGTAATTGGCTCCTGGCCATTTCTAGAGACTGTAGCCACAAGGTAAAAATAAGTTATCTCTGTCTTTCTCGTCTCTCCTCACGTAAATGCACGTAAGGTTTTCAAAAGGTCTGAGGAAGGAAGCAGGAAACCCTGAAATTAACCCCCAGACTGCTGGACCTCCCTCACAAGGACAGACGTGGCACTTTTCCCAAGCAAGAAGGTCTGCTAAGTGGTAAAACCGAAGCCCATAGGAGTCTTTTTCATACCCAGGCTGCCAAGGAAGAAACCACATTTTGAATACAAGCATTTTTCTGCCTTTAACAAAAAGTGCTAATTCAACTAATTAAAAGTGAGAATCACTTCACTGCTTCCTCATGGGGAAGGCCCTTGGATGGTGGTGGGGGGAGTCACTCGGGGAACTCCTGCTTGGCCTTCCCCTCCTTGAAGTGGTGGGGACTTCATCTTTCTTTTTTTTTTTTTTAGAATTATTTTTTTAATCTTTTTTTTTTTTATTAGTTTTTAATTTGACCAGAGAGAGACAGAGAGAGAGAGAGGGAGTGAGCAAGCCACCGGGACTCGAACTGCAGTCAGCAATGTGGGAATCCAGCGCCTTTACCCTTAAATTAGCTTTATTAGCACTTTGGACTTTTTTTGCTTTCATCAAAAACTTTTCCTTATAGAAAAGATTTCCAGAACACCCCTAGTTATGCCAGGATTTAGAGGTTCCCAATTTAGCCAACAGAAAGCACACTGGTCTTGCTAGACAGGAAATTCAGCTAGTATTGTATTTCCAGGGTCCCACTTGGATTAATTAACACAATAAAGTGCCTGATTTTACCGGATGAGCACCATCTGTCCACAGGTATTAACCACATCTGTCCAGATTTCGCCACGTCCAAGTCACTCTCCCACATCATGCTGAGTTTCTGGGTCACCCAACATCAGAAATTGGACAGATTGGATTAAAAAGCCCAACTGGAAAAGTAGGCATGTAATAAAAGCTCTTGCATGATGGGAATTTAAGGAAGATGGCCACTGGCTAACAGTCTCCAAGCTAGTCTTTAGATAACCTTTGGCTTCTTCTTCTCTGCCTTGAGAAGACTGTTGTTTTAGGCCCGGGGAACTGGACCCTGTAGGCTCCCCTAATTGGGAGAGGCTCCGACCATTCATTCAGCTGTTTGCATTAGCATTACAGTGTATTTTTTGGGACTCTTCCAACTGCGCTCAAAGGAACCCTCTCTGGAAATGAGCTGGTGGTCTGGGGATGTGCAGACAGCTGTTCCCTGCTCCCTTCTGGCTGTGATGTACGACCTTCCCTAGGAGGTCTCCTCTACGTGGATGGACTTGTTTACCATTCCCTTCAAGGCCTTTGAACTCCTTGGAGGAGGATTTTTCAGAATTTCAAGAGACCTAGAGAAAGTAACACATTTCTATTTCTTTTTTTTTTAAGAGATTTAATATATATATATATATATGGTAAATGCGCTCGCCAGAGGGACAGAGACAGAGAGAGAGAAAGCAAGAAATCAGGCCCAGGAGGGATGGCCACATTGCAACCTCATCTCCTCCATTCTCCTCTCGAGATTTTGAGCATGGACGCACACATGCCTGGCTTGAGTTTTAAGCCTCTGGGTCCAGGACTGAAATTGTGATCGGCTACATGGGAATCCAGTGATGTAACCATTATGCCATCTGCTGGTCCCAAAATAACACATTTCTGATGCGAAAGCTGTTGTTAACCAAGACTCCTGCTTCTCTGCTTCAAGTGTTACCCATTCAGTGAGTTAACACTTGTGATTTCAAAGTGGTCAGAAGCTTGGATAGCTGCATATCTGAGTTTTTAATTTCAGAAGTGTGGAAGTTGACTAAACATGGCTAGAGAAATACAGTGTTTTAGGGCTAGACACCATTCAAATAATAAAGTCCACGGGGATTTTTTTTTTTTTTGAGAGCTTTTGCTATAGGGCACGTGTGCTCGCCAGAAACAGAGAGAGACAGAGAGACAGAAAGCGAGAAATCACCCCCCAGGGGGGATGGCCATGACGTAATCCCTTCTCCTCCATTCTCCTCTCGGGATCTTGGGCACGCACGCACATGTGCCTGGCATGAGTTTAAGTCACTGGATCCGGATCTGGGACTTGAACTGTGGTCGACTGCATGGGAGTCCAGTGACATAGCCATTAAGTCAACTGCTGATCCCAAGGGGAATTTTTTAAAGACAGCATTTTTGCTAAAGGAAGCATCCATTCTCTGGAGGGACAGAGAAAGAGAGAAAGTGAGAAATCACCCCCCATGGGGGATGGCCATGCTGCAATCCCTACTTCTCCATTCTCCTCTTGGGTCTCTGAGTGCACATGCACCCATCGTGAGTTTTGAGCGGCTGGTCTGTAATTTGAACCGCAGTCGACTACATGGGAGTCTGGTGACATAACTATTATACCATCTGCTGGTTCCCATGGGGACAGTTTTTATAAAAGGCTCTTGATAGAAGTAGAGTTATCACAGCCTTATCTAAAGCGTCTACATAAAATTAACGGAAAATGAGTATTATGGAAAAAACAAGCTATGTTTGGATTTCAAAATAAACTCATACTTCAATTCCATTTTCCCCATGACCTTTTGGAAATCCTCTCATACCGTAACTACCAAAATGTGCCGTGCCCTGCACTCATATCTCTCTACCAGCCACTGCCCTTTGACCATCGCATGCTCTAGGCACCTCCAATTAACTGCGCTTCCAAAACTGCTACCACCTTCCTCCTGAACCAGCTCCATCATCTTGTCACCCACAGGGCTTAGTGGCTCATCCACAGGCACAGTTCATTGCACTTGCTAATGGCTTCATTCACCCATTCATGCACTCAAAGACTTGTGTAGCAGGTGTCGGCCAGAACCAGGAGTGAGCCTCACCCACTGCTGCCCTCTTGCCTTCAGAGGGTGATGGGCCCCAAAGCAAGTAATGCCAGCTCTGTCCTTTCAGATCCACCCCTCTGGTTCCACCTCTGTTGTTACTGCTATTTTTCCTTTTTTTTTATGTGCTCACTGGAGAGAAAGAGAGAGACAGAGAGACAGAAAGCAAGAAATCATGCCCAGGGGGAATGGCCACGCCGCAATCCCCTCTCCTCCATTCTCCTCTTGGGATTTTAGACATACATGCACATGTGCTTAGCATGAATTTTAAGGCACTGGGTCCAGGACTCGATCCACGGTCGACCATGTGGGAGGCTATGACGTAACCGTTATGCCATCTGCTGGTCCCATCACTGCTAGTTGTGAAGTGGGTTTCTTGTTTAGATGAGCCTGTGCCACCTGACCAGTGTTGGCCAACAGCACTTCCCACACCGAGGAAACACTCTGTGCCCGCACCGCTCATTACAGTAGCCACTGCAGCCACACGCGGCTCGTGTACTGGAAAGGAAATGTGTGTGGGTCCAGTCGATGGCATGGTGGTTAACGCAGCTAGATCCCACACAGCTGTGTGGTTCAAGGCCCAGACCAGCCGGCCTGAGAAATCTGCCAGGCAAGGTGTGTGCTCAAAATCCTGAAAGGAGGGGGAAACGGAGGAGAAAGGATTGCGGTGTGGCTGTCCTCATGGGTGGTGCTTCCTCACTGGACCTCTCTCTCTTTCTCCCTCTTCCTGGCAAGTGCACTTTCTCCCTCTTTCTGACAAATT